TTCTTCTCTCTCCATATGTAGTGGACATGGGTTTTGGCCTCTAAAAACTGGCAGATCTCCCAGAATGGATGCAAAGGTCTGGACTATCAATGTGAAGTCTGACTCAGCACTGACTCCAGCACTCTATGAGCCTGGCTTCCCACATTGCTGCATCCATTGAAATCCTGTGGCCAGGAACTTCACTGTAGGGTTGTGATCATTCCTAGGGAGCAGAATATTCACAAAAAATTGTAGTAGCAATTCAGTTCTAACTTGTCTACAGGACTGCTTGGAAGGGCAGTTCATATCCATTGGTGTCATCCATTCTCTTTGGATATCCTCAGATCTGTAGGTTCCTTTGCGTGAGAGGAATCTGCCTTGCAGCATTTTTTTCCTATACAGCATCTAGAAACACACTGGAGGAGTCTTTTCTTCTTTATTTCAAAAGCCAGAGGAAGCTTTACTTCTAAATTCAAAGCTCAGACTGATCATCCATCAGCTTCCCAGAGATATATTTAGGTCTATTTTCTTGCTGTCTTAGAATATATGTATGTCTCGCATGACCACACAGAAAATCTACACACTGTGAAATAAGAATAAACTGTAGATTTTTCCAAGAGCTGGGAAAAGTGTGAATTGTCCCATATTCATGCTAGAGAAGTATTCTGAGCCTTAACAATTTCATGCTCAGTCTAGTTAAGTATTTCACTACTGACCAACAAAAAAGAGGAATAAAGTTCTAAAAAGATATTCCATGTACTCTTTCTTATGCTTTAAGTGGATAATTTTTGGATTCCATTAACTTGGAAAATATCAGCTTTTTCTTTTTCATTAAGAGCTAAAAAACCAAACACTATGACCAAGATCACGGAAGAATGAAAGAATCCAGGTCCTTACTATGGAAATTGCAGCCTAAGAGCTCAACAGAACCCATGCAATTATATTTTTAACATTACACATTCTTATTCGGTATTATGAATAGTCAGAACTTGGTTATGCATACAACACAAAAATTAAGAATGTTTTCTTCCAAAATCAATTGCTGCCTAAAACTCATGGTATCTTCATTACACAGCAGTGTCTTTGCGTATAATCTGTATCCAGATTCATGTGAGAATTCTGAAGTGAATTTCCTCAGTGTACATTCTTCTTTTTGGCATTAAAAAAAAAAAATAAAATAATAATAATAATAATTTAAAAAATCCGTAACTGCTAGTCAAGGGGTTAATTCAGGTTCTAAGAAAATATTTCAAAATTTTAGTCTTTCCTCCTTTCAATGAGAGAATGGAAAGATTGTTCTAAGAATCATTGAGTTTTCTCCAATGAAGGACATTGTTTTTTAAATTATGCATATTATCTGTGTGCAAGAAACTGTTGCTAACACTAGAAGATCATGAAATCTAAGCTGTATTTTTCCTAGTTTCTTTGCCAGAATATAGTCATTTAAGAATTTAAGTCTTAAACTATGATAACCATTCAGTTAGAGGGCTTCTATAAACCTTCATAGAATTCTAGCAAGTATAGAGAGTTGGAAGTGATGAAGTTCAAGACATCTAAGAAGTAAACCTCCGTGGAGGTTATTTTCTTCTTCTTGAGATATTGTAATTAACTAAGAAAATACGCCTTCTGGACTGGTCCACTGCTCACATCCAGCTACCATTTTGAATAGTTTTTAAACTATTCTTACTTCATTTCCTAACTATCTGTCTGATAGTTACCCTGAACTTTTGGACACCATTATTTATTTGCACCAGTAATGGTACTGGACACATTTTTCCCCTGCTCACATGCTGCAGCTGCCTCCTGGGCTGTGCTGGCAGAGCACTCTGAGAGCACTGTCTGGCAGCATTCAACAGGTGAGCACGAAGAGCCAGAGAATGGTACAGGCACTGAAACCTTGGTACAGACAACATTGTAACTACATAGCAGCTTCTACAGGAGTTCTGAAAATTATGCAATTAGGGAGAGAGAGGTAATATGTAAAATTTGAAAGATCTACTCTGAATGACTCTCTCTGCAGGTTAACAGAATATGCTGGGCCTGTTCTTGAGCCCTGAGGGAAGGCTACGCTGCTCTACTTGTGTTCATGTGACTCAAGCCCCTGCCACAGCAAAAGTGGCCTTGCCCCCAGAGCTTATCGGAAACAGCTCCTGGGGAGCAGCACCGGAGATTGGCTTAACAATAACACAGCGTCAGTGATCACGCGCAGAGCTTGAGCCCTGGCCCGGCCTCAGCAGCTACACACGGCCCGCTACAGGTTTTTCTTCACCTGGGATATACTACAGTCTACTTGTTCTGACAAACAAAATGGATATTTAATACTTTCCACAGAGTATTAAAATATACTAAATAAGAGTTCTTCTATAAAAGACAGAAAATGGCTCATCAGTTTACACCATTAATTACATTAATGCAGGAGGCATATGTATGTTTCTTCTTTCACAAACAGCTTTTTTAACTTCAGGTAAATAGGTCAAAAATAACCTGAAACACATACAAATGACTAAGCGTAATAATCCTTTAAGATATCAAACATGTCTCTGAATGGCCATAGAAACAATACAACTTTATATGAACTCTTTTGAGTTGATGAAGGAGAAAATAGCCGTAATGCTTCAGAATAGACAAAATATGCAACTAAAATTACTATTTAAAAATTAACAAAAGCAGGAGTCAGCACAAAAATTGTTATGTAATTTACCCTAAACAGTATTTAAGAATAAGCCCTTAGAGACTCTTGCATTGCTGTTTATCACTTATTTGTAACTGGTTTGTACCACATAAAGTTACTAACTTTTAAGTTACAGTGACAGTTTTACAAGTTACAGTTCATATATTGTTCAAACGTTGGAAACTGATTACTCAACTTCATTCTTTAACATTTAAACAACAGTAGGTTTAAAGGCAGTAACTGTCAAACTGCCTGTGCAGACTGAAAACTGTGGGAGAGCCTGGCAACAAAATAGAAACAGAAATAAATGGTCAAGCCATATGATGGAGAAGACATTACTATTTCTAATTAGGGAACCAGACTGCAATTTAAGAGAGTTGAGAATGTTGAGAATGTATAAGATAAAATATTAACTTAAATTTGAAAGATGGGTATCTCATCCATGTAAGTCCCCTTTTGAGCCTTGCTCTGTAACAAAATCATAGCAGAGCATTTCACTCGGTGTATTCTTATCACGTTTATCTATTGCCATAGAATACCTTCCTGCAAACACTACCACTGTCACACTGGCAGTTAACCAAGAGCCTACACCTCTAGGAAAGAAATTGAAACACAAATTTGGCATGCCACAATTACTTCAGCTAAACAGAAAACACTTACTATATAATCAGATTCTTTAAACTATCTGAACAACAACAAATGTTAAATATTGTTCACAGATTCCATCACATTATTTTCTTTAATAAAAAAAGTGGTTTAGTAAATTCAGTTGTCATTTACAAATACTATTTTTAACAAAATATGATAGAAAATTTTAGTATATTGCCATGTTAGAATTCCTGCTACTTATATGAAGAGTTTTGCAATAAAAAAAGAAGCATGGAATGTGTCAAGACATCAAGTCAAAAACTGCTTCTGTTGAGAGTATTTTGACCACAGAGGTAAGACTGAAAGCAATGCTAAACAGTTTACCTGAACATAAATTCTGCTAGTGAAGCTCTAAGAATACTTCCTGTAGTATTACATTCATGTGTCAGATCTGAAATTTCTGGGACCACAGTAATAAAGACATTTCAGTATCATATATCCTTCCTTGGCATCCATGAAATCAGGCTGATTCTCTTTTGTTTGTGTGGATAGCTTTATTTTTTCCAGAATTTTTTAAAAGTTAATGTTTGACAGCACTGAGAAAGTGGTTATGGGCGTGCAAAGCTTGGCAAGGCACTGAGATACAGTCTGATCTTTTCATAGTGGGTCACTTACAACTATATGAGTAAATGAGATTATTCAAGAACGTTCAAGAGAAATTTTGTACAAAGACACTGACTGTAAACGTGAGCATTGCTAATAGTTTTAACTTTGTCCAAATACTTAAGTGGTGTCAGTAACAGGAGCGTCAAATGTTGGCTTCTACCGTGCAAGAAAAAACGCTCACTATTATCATTGTTTAGAAAGGCGAAACTAACGAAGCCGAGGGAGTCGGTCGGCCGGCTTGTCTCCCTCGCTCACCTACGAATCAAAACCCGAGCACTCGGGGGCGCGGGGGGAGAGCGATGGCCGCGCAGCCAGGACTCCTCAGGCTATCGCAGCTGAGTGCAAGCGGCCAGAAGACGGCAAGGGAAGGACTCTGGCAGTTCGCCCGTCCATCCGTCCGTCCCACGGCGCAGGCAGCGCCCCGGGCTCCGGGCGGCACCTGTGATGCGCAGCGGGACCACTCTGTCCGGAGGGGGCGGTGGGAAACCCGGCCTGGGCAGGGGCCGTGCCCTGGGAGCGCGGCGGGCAGCGCTCGCTCCGGCCGAGGGCAGCGCTGAGGCCGAGGCTGCGGGCGGAACGCGGGAGCAGCGGCTGTGCCGGGACACCCCGGGGATCCCCGTGCGGGGCGGGGGGAACTCGTGCCGCTGCCTGCTGGCACCGACTTTCTTCGCCCGTTCGCCCACCGTGCCTCTCTCAGGAAAGTTGCGGCTCTCCCCGCCACCAGAAGCCCTGGCAGCGCCGGGACGATTGAAGCCTCCCGCCTCGACAGCCCGTGCCCCAGAGGCAGGAGCCGATTTGCATGCGGACTTGTCGCTGGTAGTAGCCACTGCCCGTCAAGCCTGACGGACAAACGCCCCCCTCTTTCCGCCCCCCCGTCCCGGAAAGCCCCTCCCTCGCCCCCTCCCTCGCCGGCACCTCCTGCCGCCTGTCAGTCGGAGCGGAGCGCGGCGCGGGCGGCGGCGGCGCGGCAACGGCAGAGAGCGGGCGGGAGAGGGAGAGAGAGAGCGAGGAGCCAAGCTCTCCCCTCCCTCTCTCCCTCCCTCCCTCTCTTCCTTCCTCCTCTCTCCCTCCCTCCTTCCCTCCCTCGCTCCTTCCCCTGCTCCCTCCCTCCGCTCTTTCTGCTTCTCTCTCCCCTCATTCTCGCTTTCCGTCTCACCCACCCCGATCTCCGTTTCTCTTCCCCTCTTCCTCCGTCACGCGCGCACACACTCTTTCCCTTCTCCTTGTTTTTCTGTCATTTGACTTTGCATCTCAAGGCGGCCACCGGCTTCTCTATGAATCCCGTGTGTTGATCTGTCACCCTCCCTCCACCCCCGTCCCCTCCCAGCTCCACTCCTGTACCTGGAGCAAGGCAGGAGCGGCAGCCGAGCAGCATGTCCCGAAGGAAACAGAGCAAACCCAGGCAGATCAAAC